GGAGGTCTTCAGGAGCGAGGGGGCGAGGCCAAGGGGTTGAGGGAGAGAGTTCCAAAGTTTCAGGGTGTAGTAGCTGAGGGCACGGCCGCCAATGGTGGAGCGGACGATTTGGGGGACACGGAGGAGGCCAGAGCCAGTGGAGCGGAGGCAGCGGGTACTGCTGTGGGGAGAGAGGTTAGAGAGATGGGGGGACAAGGAATGGAGAGATTATACACTAGAGTGAGGATCTTGAAGTGGATCCGCTCTGTGACAGGAGCCAGTGGGGTTTGGCCAGGACTGGAGTAATCGGGATGTGTAGTTTGTTACGGGTTAGAATAATAATAATAATCCTTGCATTTGATATAGCGCTTTTCACGTCGGGAGGACGTCCCAAAGCGCTTCACAGAATATACTGTAAAGTGAATTGACTGTATATTTGTGGGCGAACGCGGCAGCCAATTGCGCACAGCAATGTCCCACAAACAGTCGTAGATTGAAAATGACCAATTTATTATTGTTTTTGGTTTTGGAGGATTATTATTAGGCTCTGTGTGGAGTAAGGAAACTTGCCCAAGGTTTCGCCCTCTGCCTGGAATGCGGGCGGTGGAGTTTTGAATGAGTTGGATTTTGTGAATAGTGGAGGAGGGGAGACCGGTGAGGAGGGGGTTAGAGTTGTCCAGCCGAGAGGTGACAAAGAGATGGACAAGGGTATATGCGACTATTAACAGCTTGTAGTTAATAATCACATAAACCATTCATTAATAAGGAGTGACTAATAATACACTACTGTTATTAATAACTTGTTAACAATAACAACTTATATTTACACAACTCCTTTCTCATCAAATAAACCTCTTGAGAAACGCATCACAGTCAGAGGAGCAGCCAATTGGTTTGAATTTGGAGTGAATCTGGGATAAGGAGGGAGACTTAAACCGGTAAAAGACTGGGGATGAAATTCCGATTCGATAGGGTGAACAACGAGAAACTATTTCCACTGGTGGTGGATCAGTAACGGGTGAGTGGGGTTGATCAGGGCTATGGGGAGAGAGTGGGGGAGTGGGGTTGATCAGGGCTATGGGGAGAGTGGGGGAGTGGGGTTGATCAGGGCTATGGGGAGAGAGTGGGGGAGTGGGGTTGATTTGTTCAGCTCTTTCCAAAGAGCTAGTGCAGACAAGATGGGCCAAATAGCCTCCTGTGCTGTATAACTCTATGACATTTGTCAGACATCAAGTTCTGAATGAGAGATAACTTTCTTCAGTTGAACGTTAACAAGACCGAGGCTCCTGATTGGCTCCCGTCAGCGCCTCCTCACCTCAGGCGCTGACAGCATCACCATCCATGGGGCTCACTCCCCCTCACTGAGCCAGTCCGCAACCTTGGGGTCTTGTTCGACCCTCAACTATCCTTTCTACCCCACATTCGCGCCATGACCCGCTCTGCCTTCCCCACCTCCGCAACATCTCCCAGCTCCACCACTGTCTCACACCGCAGGCCACCGACACCCTCATACACACCTTCATAACATCGAGGCTTGACTATGCACTCACTGCTTGTCGGCCTCCCCAACTCCTCCCTCCATAGTGTAGATCATCCAGAACTCTGCAGCCCGTGTCCTGTGTCAGTCTCTCTCTCACTGTGTGTCAGTCTCTCTCTCACTCTCTCTCTCACTGTGTGTCAGTCTCACTCTCTCTCTCACTGTGTGTCAGTCTCTCTCTCACTCTCTCTCTCACTGTGTGTCAGTCTCTCTCTCACTGTGTGTCAGTCTCTCTCTCTCTCACTCTCTCTCTCACTGTGTGTCAGTCCTCTCACCTCACTCACTGTGTGTCAGTCTCTCTCTCACTCTCTCTCTCACTGTGTGTCAGTCTCCTCTTCACTGTCTCTCTCTCTCACTCTCTCTCTCACTGTGTGTCAGTCTCTCTCTCACTCTCTCTCTCACTGTGTGTCAGTCTCTCTCTCACTCTCTCTCTCACTGTGTGTCAGTCTCCTCTCACTCTCTCTCTCACTGTGTGTCAGTCTCTCTCTGACTCTCTCTCTCACTGTGTGTCAGTCCTCTCTCCTGGGTGTCAGTCCCTCTCTCTCTCACTCTCTCACTGTGTGTCAGTCTCTCTCTCACTGTGTGTCAGTCTCTCTCTCACTCTCTCTCTCACTGTGTGTCAGTCTCACTCTCTCTCTCACTGTGTGTCAGTCTCTCTCTCACTCTCTCTCTCACTGTGTGTCAGTCTCTCTCTCACTCTCTCTCTCACTGTGTGTCAGTCTCTCTCTCACTCTCTCTCTCACTGTGTGTCAGTCTCTCTCTCACTCTCTCTCTCACTGTGTGTCAGTTCTCTCTCTCTACGTGTGTCAGTCTCTCTCTCACTCTCTCTCTCACTGTGTGTCAGTCTCTCTCTGTCTCTCTCTCACTGTGTGTCAGTCTCTCTCTCACTCTCTCTCTCACTGTGTGTCAGTCTCTCTCTCACTCTCTCTCTCACTGTGTGTCAGTCTTCTCTCTCACTGTGTGTCAGTCTCTCTCTCACTCTCTCTCTCACTGTGTGTCAGTCTCTCTCTCACTCTCTCTCTCACTGTGTGTCAGTCTCTCTCTCACTCTCTCTCTCACTGGGTGCCAGTCTCTCTCTCACTCTCTCTCTCTCACTGTGTGTCACTCTCTCTCTCACTGTGTGTCAGTCTCTCTCTCACTCTCTCTCTCACTGTGTGTCAGTCTCTCTCTCACTCTCTCTCTCACTGTGTGTCAGTCTCTCTCTCACTCTCTCTCTCACTGTGTGTCAGTCTCTCTCTCACTCTCACTCACTGTGTGTCAGTCTCTCTCTCACTCTCTCTCTCACTGTGTGTCAGTCTCTCTCTGTCTCTCTCTCACTGTGTGTCAGTCTCTCTCTCACTGTGTGTCAGTCCCTCTCTCTCACTCTCTCACTGTGTGTCAGTCTCTCTCTCACTGTATGTCAGTCTCTCTCTCACTCTCTCTCTCTCACTGTGTGTCAGTCTCTCTCTCACTGTGTGTCAGTCTCTCTCTCACTCTCTCTCTCTCACTGTGTGTCAGTCTCTCTCTCACTCTCACTGTGTGTCAGTCTCTCTCTCACTCTCTCTCTCACTGTGTGTCAGTCTCTCTCTCACTCTCTCTCTCTCACTGTGTGTCAGTCTCTCTCTCTCACTCTCTCTCTCACTGTGTGTCAGTCTCTCTCTCACTGTGTGTCAGTTTCTCTCTCACTCTCTCTCTCACTGTGTGTCAGTCTCTCTCTCACTCTCTCTCTCACTGTGTGTCAGTCTCTCTCTCACTCTCTCTCACTGTGTGTCAGTCTCTCTCTCACTCTCTCTCTCACTGTGTGTCAGTCTCTCTCTCTCACTCTCTCTCCCACTGTGTGTCAGTCTCTCTCTCTCACTGTGTGTCAGTCTCTCTCTCACTCTCTCTCTCACTGTGTGTCAGTCTCTCTCTCACTCTCTCTCACTGTGTGTCAGTCTCTCTCTCACTGTGTGTCAGTCTCTCTCTCACTCTCTCTCTCACTGTATGTCAGTCTCTCTCTCACTCTCTCTCTCTCACTGTGTGTCAGTCTCTCTCTCACTCTCACTCACTGGGTGCCAGTCTCTCTCTCACTCTCTCTCTCTCACTGTGTGTCACTCTCTCTCTCACTGTGTGTCAGTCTCTCTCTCACTCTCTCTCTCACTGTGTGTCAGTCTCTCTCTCACTCTCTCTCTCACTGTGTGTCAGTCTCTCTCTCACTCTCTCTCTCACTGTGTGTCAGTCTCTCTCTCACTCTCACTCACTGGGTGCCAGTCTCTCTCTGTCTCTCTCTCACTGTGTGTCAGTCTCTCTCTCACTGTGTGTCAGTCCCTCTCTCTCACTCTCTCACTGTGTGTCAGTCTCTCTCTCACTGTATGTCAGTCTCTCTCTCACTCTCTCTCTCTCACTGTGTGTCAGTCTCTCTCTCACTGTGTGTCAGTCTCTCTCTCACTCTCTCTCTCTCACTGTGTGTCAGTCTCTCTCTCACTCTCACTGTGTGTCAGTCTCTCTCTCACTCTCTCTCTCACTGTGTGTCAGTCTCTCTCTCACTCTCTCTCTCTCACTGTGTGTCAGTCTCTCTCTCTCACTCTCTCTCTCACTGTGTGTCAGTCTCTCTCTCACTGTGTGTCAGTTTCTCTCTCACTCTCTCTCTCACTGTGTGTCAGTCTCTCTCTCACTCTCTCTCTCACTGTGTGTCAGTCTCTCTCTCTCACTCTCTCTCTCACTGTGTGTCAGTCTCTCTCTCACTCTCACTCACTGGGTCCAGTCTCTCTCTGTCTCCTCTCTCACTGTGTGTCAGTCTCTCTCTCACTCTCTCTCTCACTGTGTGTCAGTCTCTCTCTCACTCTCTCTCACTGTGTGTCAGTCTCTCTCTCACTGTGTGTCAGTCTCTCACTCTCTCTCTCACTGTGTGTCAGTCTCACTCTCTCTCTCTCACTGTGTGTCAGTCTCTCTCTCACTCTCTCTCTCACTGTGTGTCAGTCTCTCTCTCACTCTCTCTCTCACTGTGTGTCAGTCTCTCTCTCACTGTGTGTCAGTCTCTCTCTCACTCTCTCTCTCACTGTGTGTCAGTCTCTCTCTCTCACTGTGTGTCAGTCTCTCTCTCACTCTCTCTCTCACTGTGTGTCAGTCTCTCTCTCACTCTCTCTCACTGTGTGTCAGTCTCTCTCTCACTGTGTGTCAGTCTCTCTCTCACTGTGTGTCAGTCTCTCTCTCACTCTCTCTCTCACTGTGTGTCAGTCTCTCTCTCTCACTGTGTGTCAGTCTCTCTCTTCTCTCTCTCTCTCTCTGTGTGTCAGTCTCTCTCTCTCTCTCTCTCTCTGTGTCAGTCTCTCTCTCTCTGTGTGTCAGTCTCTCTCTCTCTGTGTGTCAGTCTCTCTCTCTCTCTCTCTCTCTCTCAGTCTCTCACTGTGTGCAGGGTTAGGGTGGGGGGCGGTGTGGGTGGGATGGGTGACTGATGGGAACCTGGTGCAGTGTAAACTCTGTTGACCGCGGCTCCTCTCTGTCAGGTGTTTAACCAGGTGGCAGAGACGGAGATCACGCTGAGCAACACTGGGAAAGTCGGGATCGAGTTCAAGATTGTGAACCATGAGCAGAGTCTGGATCAGGAGCTCGTGCCAGGAATACCGTTCATCACTCCCCTGTCGGTCAGTGTCCCGCCGTCTGATCACGGTTCTCGTTGTCAGTGAGTGGAGACGAGGGCACCGTCTCGGGGCACATTTGGGGGAGTTTCCTGAGCGGGGGCTTGAATGTGAGGCTGGATCATTGTTCACAGGAAACTGGACGCTACGCCCTGAGCTCAGACACTACACCCTGAGCTCAGACACTACACCCTGAGCTCAGACGCTACGCCCTGAGCTCAGACGCTACGCCCTGAGCTCAGACGCTACGCCCTGAGCTCAGACGCTACGCCCTGAGCTCAGACGCTACGCCCTGAGCTCAGACGCTACGCCCTGAGCTCAGACGCTACGCCCTGAGCTCAGACGCTACGCCCTGAGCTCAGACGCTACGCCCTGAGCTCAGACGCTACGCCCTGAGCTCAGACGCTACGCCCTGAGCTCAGACGCTACGCCCTGAGCTCAGACGCTACGCCCTGAGCTCAGACGCTACGCCCTGAGCTCAGACGCTACGCCCTGAGCTCAAACGCTACAGGTAGTAGGGCACAGACTCCAGGGAAACTGGAGTATGAAGAAAAAACTGCGCTATGATCCAGTAAACTGGAGGAACAGGCTACATGGGCTGAATGTGCTCAGTCTGACGCGGAGTTTGTCCGTTCTCTCTCTTTAGGGCTATATCAAAGCGAACACTGAACAGAAGCTGAAGGTGTGTTACCTGCACGCACTCCCTGAGGTCTTTCACAAGAGCTTCGAGATCCAGATCTCACACTTTGAGCCGGAGAGGATCACACTGACCGGAGAGGGGGTCTTTCCCCGGATCTACGTGGATTTACCCCGCAACATACCCGGTAAGAACCCGCCTCAGTCACCAGCCGGAGCGAAGCTGGACACGAGACCGGCCACTTCACAGTCACTGCCCGGCCAGCACTGATGAGATGGTGGTGAGGGCAAGCAGGGATTCCAAAGGGAATTCAGGGGGAACCAGTCAGGCTTCCTGCTCCTGGACCCTCTGCTGGCTGTGTGTGTGTGTGTGCGCGAGCGTGTGTTAGTGCGTGTGTGTTATTGCGTGTATTTGTGAGTGCGTGCTTGTGCATGTGTGTGTGTGCTCAGCCTCACACATGGACAGCGGTCACTCGGGCAGGTACCAGGGTGTAGAGGCCAGGCCTGGGGCACAGAGAGGCACAACAACAGCAACTTGCGTTTTCACAGAGGCCCCTCAAGCAGGGCAGTGTCCCGGAGCGCTTGACAGTGGTGTCTGACCCCGAGCCAGGGGGAGAGGGAGGGGGGAGGTGACCGTAAGCACCATCGCAAAGGAAGGTCTTTAGGCGGGATTAGAAGGTGGGGAGGGAGGGGGCAAAGCAGAGGGATTGGGGGAGAGAGTTCAAGAGTTTCGGTGAGTAATGGCTGAAGGTACGGCCACCGATGGTGGAGTGGAGAGGGCGAGGGATAAATAGGAGGCCGGAGCCAGCCGAGCGGAGGCAGCAGGTGGTGGGGTGAGGGGTTGAGCAGGTTGGAGAGGTAGGGAGGTGTGAGGGTGTGAAGGAATTTGGAAACGAAAGAGGATCTTGAAGTCGTTCCCTTTGTAAATTGGCAGTCAGTGCAGACTGGGAAGGATGGGTGTGGACGGCACACACTGATTTAATTGTATTTTGTGTACAGTGGAGTTGGGGAGGCCAGCGAGGAGGGTAACATTGGAAAAGTCCAGCCAGGATGTGTCGAGGCGTAGGTGGACGAGGGTTTTGGCTGCTGTGGATGTGACAAAAGCCACACAAGGGGCAGAGTGGGAGATTGGACACTAAGTATAAACAGTTTCCCTGTCACACTTGTTCCCACAGAGAACACGGAATACGAGGCTCTGCTGCTTCAAGCCAGACAGTCCCTGGACAACGACCCCCAGAAACAGTGTCTCTTCAGCCGGCCTGTGTCAGCGGAGACACAGCCGGCTGCTGAGGACTCCCCGTCATGTGTGAGTGCCGCTCCCCACGCTGACGCCAACACCAGCACCGCAGAGATTCAGCGAGCGAGTCACTGCGACTTACTGCACCTAAACAGCCCAACTAGTCCATGCCACACAAACCCACATCCCTCCTATTCCCTGTCACCTCTACACCTTTCTCCCCTTCGCCTTCATGTCAAGTTCCTCACTCAGGTCAAGTTTCTCTTATTAATAATAATCCTCGCATTTTCATATCGTCTCAAAGCGCCTCACAGAATAGACTGTAAAGTGAATTGACTGTATATTTGTGGGCGAAACGTGGCAGCCAATTGCGCACAGCAATGTCCCACAAACAGCCATGGGTTGAAGTGATCAAATTATTATTTAAATAAGATTTGAAGGGATTATTACTCTCAGAAAGCAATCTGACAATCATCTAACAACGGATTTACTACTTATTGCTGGGTAAACAGAGTAAGGAAACTTGCCCAAGTTTTCATATTTATTATTATTAATATTAATAATAATAGTTCTTGCATTTCATATAACGCCTTATCACGTGTTGAGACGTCTCAAAGCGTTTCACAGGATACACGGTAAAGGGGATTGACTATATTTTGTGGGTGAAACGTGGTAGCCAATTTGCACCGTGGAGTGAGTGACTGATTTTAATTGGGGGATTGTTAGCCAGGACACCGGGAGATACCAGCCGGAGAGAGGGACTTGGCTTATGAGTGGAGACTGGAGGAACTGGAACTTTTTCCGCTGGAACGAGGGGTGACCTGATTGAGGTCTTGAAACATTATGAGTGGAGAGAGTCAATAGGGAGACATTTTCCCACAGCTCAGTTAGTAGTCACTAGTGGGCATTAATTTAACAGCTAGTCAACGAGTAAATGGGGAGGTTAGGAGAGTTGTTTTTCTCGTGGGGTAGTCAGGGTACACAATGACCTGCCGGGAGCGTTGGTTGAGGCAAAATCCATATTAGTTTTCAAGAGGGAACTGGGCAGAAAGATGTTTATTAGGTCAGGGGATCAATGGATACGGGGCAAGGGCAGGTAATTGGAGTTGAGGTACTTGATCTTGTAGAATGGCAGAACAGGCTTGAGGGGCTGAATGGCCTCATCCTGTTCCTAGGACCAGAGAGGAGTCATTTAGAGGGGTGGAGGTAGGCGGAAAGGAGTGGGGGGAGGTAAACGGACTTTCACAGATCAGCACAGCTACGGTGGATCAAACAGCCCTCTGTGTTTGTGGAGGTAACTCTGTGCTTCCTTGGTTGGTTGCTGGCGGTTCACTGTTATCGTGTCAGAGCTTGAAGGTCTGACCCCATGTGTATCCTCTGCTCCTGATCCTCAGTGAGGTCTGGTGGCCACTTCACTGTGAATGGCATTAGCTCTCCCTCCCGGCTGTCTGTCCCCCACCACTCTCATATAATGTGTTTGTTTCTCTGCCAATCTGTCTGTCCCTCCCTCTCTCTCCCCCTCCCTCCCGCTCCCCCTCCCTCTCTCTAACTCTCAGTGTGTTTGGACACAGTATGACATCCTGCTGCAGATGGAAATGGAGCGTTTGCTGGTTAAGAATCATGCAGAGAAGGAGTTACTGCAACTCACCAGCACCGAGTCCACAGCCATTCAGCAGATGTGCAAACGCCTCAGCAGGTAATACTGTTCCTGACACCAAGAGACCTGAGTTCAATCCCAGGCAGGGCCAAACCTTGGGCAAGTTTCCTTACTCCACACAGAGCCTAATAATAATCCCTCCAAAACCAAAAACAATAATAAATTGGTCATTTTCAATCTATGACTGTTTGTGGGACATTACTGTGTGCAATTGGCTGCCGCGTTTACCCACAAATATACAGTCAATTCACTTGCGCTTTGGGACACTCCCGATGTGAAAAGCGCTATATCAAATGCAAGGATTATTATCATTATTATTAACAGCACCCCCCCCACACACACAGCCTGTCCTCAACACACTGTCCTCAACACCCCCCCACCTACCCATTGTCCCTCCCCACACAATCCCCGACCCCCACCCCACTGTGTCACTTCCCTGATGTGATTGAAATGGTTAAGATAACTGAAAGAATTAACAATAATGATAATCCTTGCATTTAATATATCATCATAGAATTATACATCACAGAAAGAGGCCATTTGGCCCATCGTGTCTGTGCCGCTCTTTGAAAAGAGCTTCCAAATCAACCCCACTCCCCCCATAGCCCTGATCAACCCCACTCCCCCATAGCCCTGATCAACCCCACTCCCCCGCTCTCTCCCCATAGCCCTGATCAACCCCACTCCCCCACTCTCCCCCCATAGCCCTGATCAACCCCACTCCCCCACTCTCCCCCCATAGCCCTGATCAACCTCACTCCCAATAATAATAATAATCCTTGCATTTGATATAGCGCTTTTCACGTCGGGAGGACGTCCCAAAGTGCTTCACAGAACACACTGTAAAGTGAATTGACTGTATATTTGTGGGCGAACGCGGCAGCCAATTGCGCACAGCAATGTTCCACAAACCGTCGTAGATTGAAAATGACCAATTTATTATTGCTTTGTTTTGGAGGGATTATTATTAGGCTCTGTGTGGAGTAAGGAAACTTGCCCAAGGTTTCGCCCTCTGCCTGGGATTGAACTCAGGTCTCTCACTTGCAAAGCGAGTGCTCTAACCACTGAGCTACAGGACTCCACTGCTCTCTCCCCATAGCCCTGATCAACCCCACTCCCCCGCTCTCTCCCCATAGCCCTGCAAACTTGTCCTCCCCAAGTAATTATCTACTCTTAATTATCTCTTAAAAGCTGTTATGGAATCGGTTCCCACCGGCCTTTCAGGCAATGCATTCCAGAACCCAACAACTCGCTGTGTGAACAATTCTACTCCCCTCCCCTCTGTTTCTTTTAACTTCTATTAGGTCTCCTTTTAACCTTCTCTGCTCCAAGGAGAATAATCTTCGCTTCTCTTCCTCTCCTGATCACTGAAGTCCCTCATTCCTGGTACCATCCTGGTCAATCTCCTTTGCACCCTCTCCAATGCCTTGACATCCTTCCTAAAGTGTGGGGCCCAGAACTGAACCCAGTCTCTCGCTGAGGCCTCACCAGTGTTTTATAAAGATTCATCATAACTATAAAGGTTCATCATAACTATAAAGGTTCATCATAACGCCTTATCACGTCTCAAAGCGCTTCAATGATGGGAATCTTTCTCCGCTGTTCAGGGCATTGAGGATGAGAGGGCATTAATTATGTTATAGACTGATTCAGGGAGTGAAAGAGATACGCTGATTGATATTGTGGGTAAATAGCCTCCTATTTCGTTGTTTGGGACTGAAAAAATAAACTCAGATCAATACTGTCAAGATTCGCCAAGGACACACACCCAGAGTTGGGAAGGGCAAGTTTACACAGAGACCAGGAAGTATTTCTTTTTACAGAGCTGGAACAATAACAACAGCAACTTGCATTTACACCGCGCCCTTGATGTGGTATAGTGTCTCGGAGCACTTGACAGTGGCGGAGTCTGACCCCGAGCCAGGGGGAGAGGGAGGGGGGAGGTTAGCACGATCAAAAAGGAAGGAATTTAGGTGGGATTTGAAGGTGAGGAGAGAGGCGGCAAGGCGTAGGGACTAAGGAAGACAGTTCTAGAGTGAAGCAGTTGAAGAACTGACTGAATCCTGGGATGCGAGGGCAGGATGGGGGGATTCAGGGAGCACAGGATAAGGAGGCTCCTTCTCTTGTGATCTCGTGAAATGTCTGTTTTGTTTTGCAGTACCGATTTACCTGAATATATCCTGGACTTCAGCTTTGTTATCTTTGAAAATGTCAGTAAGCAGAACATCTCCATTACAAATACAGGCGCGTTCCCAGTTTCCTTTCAGACTGATCGTGGTGCTCTGAAAAATACAGGTGAGAGGGTGAGGCTGTTCCTGTTCAGCTTCAGACGCATATTTCATGAAATATCATTGTATCACATCACTGTATCTTACGTGTTACTTAGACCAGCCTATCACTCGCTCTGTTATCTGTTATTCTCTACATAACCCCCACACCCCCACATGGGTTAGATTCCAGTTCTTCACTCACTCCCAGGATCTCTCTTTCTATATATAAACTCGCTTAATAAATAATAATCCTTAACATCTGATGTAGATGGAAAGTATCCACGTATATGAAGGATAGAGGCGTGAAGGGGTGTGGGGATAGGGCAGGTCAGTGGGATTGAACGAACAGCTTGTTCCGAGAGTCGGTGCAGACTGGATGGTCTGAATGGCCTCCTCCTTTGCTGTAAATGTCTATGATGCAGCAGGATATATTGTAAAGTGTAAAGTGTAGTGAATATGTTCAAGTTTAGTGGACACTATTTGAAAAGAGAAGGGAGTTCCTCTGGGCAAATCGCTGCTATGTTCATCTACAAAACACACAGTCACGTCACTGCACTTTACAGTAAATCCTGGGAAGCGCTTTCAGAGGTTTAGGCACAGTATTTATCACCTCCAGGCTCGACTATGCAAACTCCCTGCGTGTCGGCCTTCCTAACTCCTCCCTCCACAGCTGCAGATAATCCAGAACTAACTCTGCAGCCCATGTCCTCTCCCGCACCAAACTCCGTGACCCCATCTCCCCCACTCTCGCCTGATTCCATTGGCTCCCTATCCTTCAGAGGATCCCGTTCAAAATCCTGGTCCTCACCTACAAAGCCCTCCATGGTCTCCCCCCACCCTACCTCTGCGACCTCCTAACCCCCTACCAACCCGCCCACTCCCTCCGCTCAACCGGCTCCGGCTGCTCCACGTTCCCTGACCCACCCGCCCCCCAATGACGGGAGAGCCTTCAGCCACTCTGCCCCCAACCTCTGGAATTCCATCCCCCAATCACTCCGCCTCACCCCCTCCTTAGCCTCCTTCAAGTCCCACCTCAAAACCCTCCTCTTCGACCATGCCATCGGCCACCCCCCT